ATTACATCTGCATTTTAACGTGAAATTTGCTCGGTGAATTTCTAGTCTCGCCCACGGATAATGAAGCGCCACGAGTTAGGTATTATCATAATAACTTTATAAAATGTTTTTTAATACGCTGAAAATGATCAAGCGCGCGGTTATAAGTATAAGTATATAAAATTAAGAAGAAAATCTAAAGGGAGAATGCTTTTTACTCTTTACATTATTCGCCGGGAAATTGTGCAACATTTTACTTGATTAAACGATACTGAAGAATCTGTTTCGACGTTGATACTCCCTGCTTTAATAAGTTGAACTTAAGATAAAATTACAGCTGGTTAATTAAACTAGCCGGATGGTAGTCTCATTTTCATACGGCTAATTTCCTTTAGTAGCGATATTGCAATTTACTACTGGAAGCAATTTACTGCAACCTTTCTTTAAAACTTTTGAAAGATGCAGTCTTTGAGACTATCTAAGATTTGATAAGTCATTAAAATGATTATCATTTTACTTTAATATTATTACCTGTACTTTGTGCTTGTATTGCACAGGATATTATATTATTAATTGCATTCTTATTTATATTAATTTCAATAAGAAAAACGAAAGTAAGAAAAGAAAATTTTGTATAATCTTAATATGAGCGATTAATTGTAAAAGATCAACGAATTTAAAATACACAGAAAGAACTATTTTGCTGAAGAATCCAAAAATTTATCTATTGTAGATACGGACCTGAAAATAACTTTGTTGAGTCAAAATAATTACGTAAAACGTTCAAGCGTTTGTGATAAAAAGTTTTAACATTTTAGCAACTAGTTTAAATCCTACATAATTATTTTTTAGTTAAAATAAAATTATTTTTTAATTTGTGCTTAACTAAATTTTTAGATTTCAGCAAAGTTGTTCTTTTCGTGTAACATTAACGTTAATATGATTAATATATTAACAATAATATGATCAATGTTAATTTCGGCTGAAGAGCCCATTCAATTTTAGATATTAACGAAGCCAGCGAGACACGTAGACAGTGGAACAAGTAACGATAGAAACTTTGCCATCTCTCTATCTTGTCTCAGATCAATAGCGTCTCATTCAATATACATATCTAATATCAAGACACCGCGTCAATTTTATCTCCCCATTCCGTATTAATTAAACTTAATTCAATCTTCGTCGCCCAAGCGAGACAGGAAAGTTCTCTGTCGGGCGGGCGGGATGAACTTTTAAGGACACGAAGTTCGAAATATAATTAACGAAACTGCCGCCGGTGTCGTGGTGTACAAATTTCGAAGTCCGTGATATCATCCCCGGCACGTACGCGCCTTTCATCGTTTCGCGATTGGGGACGGTGTGCGAGGATCAATACTTCTGAATTTCGCTTTCGGATTCTTCGCGTGACGCGTGGGCGCGCGCTTGGACGGCGAACTCTCGATTGTTAGCCAAGAACAAAAGGATCGCGGGGTGGTTCGTTATGACAGTTCGTTAACCTCGTAAATTGGCTAACTCATCGTTAATGGGCGGTTACCAATTATCGAATCGATTACGTCGCTAAATTATATCCGGCAATCATTAGTTAACTCAAATTTTCTACACTCGCGCTATACGGCCGTGGGGCACGTCGGCGCTATCCGTTAACGCGAAAATAAAATCGGCTGTAAGCGTGCGACCTGATAACAACGTTTACCTAATTATAATATAAAACTATTACATTGGGCGAATTACTCGCGGTCCTTAACTTAACTCGCTCGAACACGTCGGCTCGCCGTGTCGTTGCACCATGCTGAAGTCATTTATCTTCATTGTTGCGCGAAACCAGTAAATTACGCATTAATAGTGTAAGTGCTAAACTAGCGCTAACTACATTAGTAAGCAACTATCTACGAAATCAGAGACTTGATATTTAAATTGAAATAAGTATTAATATATACGAATATACTTTTTTCATTTCTATAGCATTGGAATTTTTATTGTTCAAATTTGTACTATCATAATAATAATAATAATAATAATGTTTATTGCAATGTACAAATATAGCCAAATTAAAAAGGAAAAAGACGAGATGAAGTACATTTTTAGATGTCAAAGAAGCAGTGATAATTCAATCTTTTAAGTTAAATAACATTCTGTTATTTATAATTTTTATGTATGTCAAATGTAAATCCGTTTCTGTGGTTAGTTTCAAAATAAAGAACATAATATAAGTAATAATCTTTGTAACATATGCACTTAGTAAATAGTAAACTGAATTTTAAATTATACATTTTATTTTTATATACTTTCTTGAATTAAATTTTTTACTTCACTGTTTTAATTAAATTAATGGTATACTGAGTAGGAGTAGTCACGGCTTCGTAACTTATATAAATAATTAAAAATAACTCAAATTGATATGATCAAACATTATACGTGTATATAGTAGTACACTCAAATGATAAGGCATCAGCAAAACTGCAGTTTGTAAATTATCAGTAATGCACATTATTGATTATCATTACTATGGTATTATTATTAGTTATTTTTACTTATAAAGTTTTAATTATATCAAAAGCTTTATGGATTTGTGTAAGTAGCGTTATTGTTGATGTCTCTTGAGATGCTGCGCTCTGTGATACATATTTATGTACAATATCTCTCATACTTCAATAAAGTTATTATTATTATCATTAGTGAAGAAATCGCTAAATAAATTACAATAATAATATTTTACTAACAAATGCGATATACAAGATATTTTATAAATCGACGATATCGACTATTTTGCATTCGGATAACGGCAATCTGCCGTTCTGGCATGCTAACGCGTTGATGTATATCCGCGATTAGAATCGGTCCTGAATGTTAAACACAAATAGGAGATATCCAAACTATCGTTGATATTGATCCGCATAAACCTCTATAGCGGCTTTTCCGGTTATGTCTACGTTTGCATGCACAATTTAAAACTGATTGCTGTACCCTGAGTATCGTTTGCTATTTTTTAATAGCAATATTACATACTGCGGTTGAACGCTACCCTCTATTGCCTTCTTCCTTTTTGTATTTTTTCCTTTCATTCGACGAAACTTTATATACGTTTGTTATGAGTCGGGGCTTGTAACTATTTGGCAAATATTCATTGCATTGGAATAATTACCGCTTCAGTAACAGCATTCAATATTTATTGTGCTTACTAATACCTCAAATATTTACCATTTACCATCGGACTTTATTATAGACGATTTGACATAAAATCATTTATAGACGAGTTGACGTACAACCATTTCAGTTCGTATGGCTATTAACGGTTAAAGGAAATGAACGACATGACTTGTTCAAGAATAAAAAATTTTATCGTTAATCTCGATGTTACAAATAATAGACAGTGTAACTTTACGTATGCCATTGAATATTTATTTCATTGCAGCTTTACGAGCAATACACAATATGCTTTCCATTCTCCAAAAAATTCTGCTAAAAAATCGAATACACAGCTTCCTATTGAGCATACTGTACATTCTTCTTCCTTTTTTATTTCTTTTTTTGTTAAATTTTTTTATCGGAATACATCTCCAATAAATCTGATATTCGCGCCATCTCTTTACGACGCGCGACAGGATATGAGAGAAATCCATCGGTATACGATCGACGAGAGAAGCCTCGGCAGTTTATTTCCGCAATAAAATTATTTTATCGCGCACAGGACAGAAGTATGGCCTGTCGATTTTTTTTGCGATTGGGACACTAGAAATATATATATAAAAATTCAAATAAGGCCGAAATTCAATGGAAGACAGCTTTAACGGCATCGGGATATAACTTCTAAAAAATGCAATAAATCTCGCAAATGTCTCGATATATAGAAGAGAATGTGTATCATACGTGTAATTGCTTTATTATTCGCGCAGCATTTTTTGGATGCTACACAAATGGAATTTCGATATAAAGTGTCTCAGTTTTATCGTTTAACAATACCAGCAGCCCCTCCACCGGGACACTCTATTTATCGATATTCCATTTTAGTTCTATTTACTACAGCTCGCACTTTAAACATCCGATACGCCATCGGATTGAAATTGTCAAAACACACGTTGACTGCTGTATCTTACACAAGTGGCATTCACGTCTAAATATTTACAGTGAAATATTTGTGTTGGCAGAAAAAAGAGAGAGAGAGAGAAAGAGAGAGAGAGAGAGAG